AGATTTTTATGCTGAATACGATGCTGCAACTCGTTTTTAAAAATCTTGATCCATTCTAAAGTTATGAGAACTTTTTATAACATTATTTTTAGCCCATTTTAACATTGTGCATTTAGAAACTAAGAACATAATCGTAAAATAGTGCTAGATAAATATAAGTATACACCACATAATATACATAAATCTTTATCTAGCACTATTTTGCGATCATTTACTTAGTTTCTAGGGATTCTAGGGGGGGGCTGAAAACGAAAAGGTAAATCAGTCCCGGGTGTAGGTCTTACCATTAAATATACGGAAATTTGATGGTTAATATGAATGAAAACTGCGTTTTGTACAAAGCGAAATAAATCTATTTATTCATTACGCTGGTTCCACAATAGTAGGTTTACACGTTTGTTCTTAATGTCATAAAATCGGATAGTTTTTACCCGAGTTAACGTGCTTACAAAAAATATAAATTGAACGTGATTGAGTTACATTAAATCCAGATCCAGCCCAACACCATTCGGTTTCAATACATGGTATCCCGTAGGATTTGCCCATCGATCGATTGTTTGATATTGATGCCTGACTCCTGACTATTCGAAGTTGTTATTAAATTATAAGCCAATCATCGGTCTCAGGTAAGAGACACAACTCTCGGCTTCTCAAATAATATTTAAGTCCTTTAAAAACTACAAATCTACCAATGAAAAGCAATGATGTTAGCTAGCTAGTCATGTTCTAGCTACTCAAAACTCCCTGCGAGTATCAACGGATACAGAGGACTCATAGTAAACTACCGCGGCTTTAAATCGCAATATTGTCCTTTTTTCACAATAATTAATAAATGGTAGTCTTTCTTTTAGGAAAAGCTTGATTTGTTTTTGTACTTTATTATTATTAATAAACAATTATACTTCAATCCTTCAATGGATTAAGATTTATCTGTTTTAGTGACATCTAGTGGTGAATATGTGAACTGGCTGCGCTTTGGGTGGTGACATCTAGCGGCGATTGGGCAAACTGTTGTGCTCCCCGGTACCATTGACTTTATCTTTATATCTACACGTGTAGATATAAAGTCAATGCTTTTAGGGACTTTCCACAGGGAATAAGCTATTACCATAGGTCTCATGGTAAGATCTGGGCTCGAGACCGATTTACTTTTTCGTTTTGAGGTCCCCAGACACCAAAAATACTAATCGTTCAAATTCACGGCCCGTTGGCCGTACACCGTTGATAACTCGAGCAAAAATGATTCGATTTTGATGAAATTTGTCACAAACGTGTAAACCTACGTTTATTCAAACTAGTTCGCAAACCGGCATGATCGGGCTATGGGAACGGGGGCTTATGGTGGGTTTCATGGGATACAAATTGTTTTTTTCATGTTTGATCTTAAAAACATAAAATTCTCAATTTAATTCTGAACCATTTTGTAGAGCTTATCAAAAAACAAATAATTTAGTATACGGAAGCATTGTTGTATGCCTGATGGTGACGGATAAAATTCATAAAAGTGTAAATAAAATTCCCACGTTATGATAATGGATAAAAAGAAAACTGTTGTAGTTTTCTTGTTTATGGATATATTTTGATTGAATATTGCAAATTTCTTTATTTCATACTAAACTAATTAACATACAGTATTAATAAATTACACCTTGTTACCTTCCCCGTAGAAACAACCCTTCGTCCTCATTCAAATTAATGCTATAGGAAATTAATGTAACAATCTTTAAATGGAAATCCAACCAGACAAAGGCAATTCGCTTAGTCTGCAGGTTTGCTGTGGTGGGTGTATAGATGCTCCCACCGCTTACCCATGATAAAAGTTGTTGGCAAGCTAATGGGAGAAAGTATGTATCAGATTGTTGATACCATTTACTACATTTATGACAACAGCTAATTATGAACCAACTAGCAACAAATGCTGTGGTTCACAATAAGAACTTTACTTTTGTCTATGGTTTAGGTGCAGTGGTAGAACATTATGTCTGTGGTAGAGGTGGTATACCATAGTATAGCGTATAGATTAAAAGAACCAAATTGTCTTAAACCGTGTTCTCTCCCATAACTGCAATAAGCATTTTATACTTAATGAACTAGAACGAAAGACGGGAACTCTGTTAGTATTTAATAGTTTTACCATTTTGTAAATGATGAATTTTATGGATAAGAAATATGTTTAAGATCATTGCTTGGAACTATTTGTTATTTGTTTCTTAAAAGTGGTGAAATAATTGGACAATTGTTTATTTAAAGATAATTCCTATGTTAGCTTTGCACTACCGAACTGTAAGTTAAATAGTTTATTACCATGCTTCGTTCACTGCTGAAATTAATCTGATAAAATGCAAGAGCACTGTTTTGGAGGGAGATTTTACATCGGTTTAAGTTCATTGTTCAAATTATAGCTGAAATGTTTTTTACTTTTGAAAACCACGTAATAGGATTGCAATTTCAATACAGACTCGACATGGGAAAATAAAGAAACAAGCCAACACGTTTTATAGTTTGAAACATTTTTTAAACATTTACAATTGCTCATTTTTATTTGGACTCGTCCTGATCTCATTGAACGAATTTTCTACCAAAACGTACCTAATATGTATCTAAACGTATCTAAAACGTATCTAAAACAACTTAGAAAAACCAGCGATTTTATTAGTATGTTTTCAACTACATTAATCACCACACTATTGTTTTGGCAACTGTCCCCAAGGGATTCTGCACATCTGCAGGAAAATATCTTTCTAACAGTATGCGTAGATTTTCCCTGCGATACACACGACCTGAGAAAAAAGGTTTGAAAGAAACATGCTTGCCTATTAATATAAAGATAGATAGATACTCATAAGGTTAACATGGAAAACTCCAGAGCCACTGGGGTGGAGCCCGAAAGGATGTTTGAGATATGAATATAGCCATGTGTTAATCAGGAATGTGAGCTATCATCATACCAAATTTTAACCCTGTTGGTTAGTATTTTTCGCGTTTACTTGTCATAAACCTCCATTCATCCATACATACATACATCCAAACTTTCTCACTTATAATATTAGTAGGATGTTATTTATAACAGGTTTATTTATAACAAGGCCAGCTTTGTTTTAGCGAATTTCCCATATAGGGAATAAGCTATTACCGTAGTACTCATGGTAAGACCTGGACGCGGGACCGATTTTTTTTCGTTTTGAGGTCCCTAGAGGCCAAAAACACCATCCGTTCAAATTCATATATATATATATATATATATATATATATATATATATATATGTGTGTGTGTGTGTGTGTGTGTCCGTTAGCACGATAACTCGAGCAAAAATGATCCGATTTTGATGAAATTTGGTATAAACGTGTAAACCTACGTTTATTCGAACGAGTTCGCGATCCAGCATGATCGGACCATGGGAACGGGGGTTTACGGGAGGTTTTATGGGGTAAAAATAGGGTTTTCCCATTTTTGACCCAAAAAACATAACATTTAGCAATTTCTTTCCAAACCATTTTGTAGAGCTTAAAAAAACAAATAATTTAGTATATTGAAGCGTTGTTATGCGCCTAATGGTTACGGAGAAAATTCCAAAAAATTTTAAATTTAAAATTCCCATGTTATTCTTATGGAGAATAAGTAAACTGTTGTAGTTTGCTTGTTTATGAACATATTTTGATCAAATTTGGAAAATGTTTTTATTTCTTACTAACTATTAACATTTTACAAAAAAAAAACAGTTTTACCCTCCCTGATGCAGCAAACCTAAGTACTTGTTACACTAATTCTATTTAAATCGGGAATAATTAATGTTATATTTGTAAGTAGACATTTCAGTGTAAATCAAATCAGTCAAATGGAAATTCTCTTAGTCTGCAGGTTTGCTGCGGCGGGGGTATTTGTTTGAGTCTTGAGTTGTGATAGTAAATATATACTTCGCAATTTATATTTTAAAGCTTGTAATTTTATTAATATTTTGTAACTGGAACAACTCAACAGGTAATAATGGTATGTACTGTATTTGAATTGTTTTGATGAATCGAACCCCTACGCAATATGTCGGAATATTTTGCTGTCCAAATGATGTAAGACATAAACCTGACGACAACAAATATATAAGCCTAAGCCTTTAGGTATTGCACTTAAATTGGAGTTTTAAAATTATCATGAACGTTTGTGCACGTTAAAAACTTTTATTTCTTCGAATAAATATCACAGCACGGCATGACGAATTTATAAACACGATGTCCCAATAACTACGGTACTCCTAACTCGCATTGAAGTCCAAACTATTTGCTCCTGAATGATTCTTAGACTACTGAGAATCGCATTTTGTGAAACCTCGAGCTCTACTGTATTAGAGGTGGCTGTGGCTCTACTCGAAGTGCCTTAAAAATGTCCATCTTACACTACTTATGAACTCCATATTCAATCATTATTTAACACACATTTTTTTCATAATTAGAACAGTCTTGTTAGTTCATTTTTACTACAAATAAAACACTATAACAAAGACAATTAATGGCTGAAAAGTAAAAATCATAATTTACCAATTATGTTGTTATGACGCGTGAGCTATGATCATGTGCAGAGTTTGTCCAAATCAATTAAACATTTTGGCGCTATAGAGTCGTCCAAATTTAAACTTTAATTTAAGATATGTTCGTATTTATAATAATAGTTGAATTCCTGTGATCAAGCAAGACTTAACCTCATTAAGTACAGAGTGAATTGATAAGTCGAGTTTTAAACATCTAAAAAACTTAAAAATTTACATTATCATCAGAAATCTAAGGTAACTTGATGACCAAGTAGAATTAAGCTTTGAAAAGACTAAAACACTATTTGGAGGAGTAAATATCAACAAAAACAAAAAGTTTAACATGTACTAATTTGATCAGGTCTATTTATCTAGGTTTTGGTTAAAAAAAGTTGAAAATAAGTGTATGTCATAAGTTCATTCGTAGTAAGATATCAAACTGTGATAATCAATCTTGTTTTTTTTTTTTTTTTTTTTTAGAGAAACGGATGACCCTGGAGAGAGCTACAAGGGGAAGCCGGACGGATATCATAGGGACCAAGAACATGAGAATGGAACATGGAAAGGCTATGCTATGTACAAAGATACGTGTTTGAAACCCTCTGTATTACAAAAGATGGAACCTGATGCGCTTTTATTATTATTTTCATTGGATTCGCCAATTTCATATACAAACTCATATAACTACCAAAATGCTAAACTTAATTCGTTAAAAATAAGAATGAACAGAATGCTTCTGACAAAACACTCTGAACTGCACACTTCGGACGGCCCAACTGGACAACGAAACACTATTTTATCTTATAAACGTCAAGATCAACGGATAGCTACTGAAAGACGTGATGCTCGATCTCTTAATTCAGAACAACGAGAAATAAGGATCTCTGCTGAACGACGTGAAGCTCGCTCTGTTGATCGACTTGAATCTCGCTCTGCTGATCGACGTGAAGCTCGCCCTGCTGAACGACGTGAATTACGAATCCTGTCTTCTGACCGAAGAAATGCAAGGATCTCTGCTGAACAACGTGAAGCTCGCTCTGTCGAACGACGTGAAGCTCGCTCTGATGATCGACGTGAAGTTCGCTCTGCTGATCGACATGTTGCTCGCTCTGCTGAACAACGTGAATCACGATCTCTGTCCTCAGACCGGAGGGATGCAAGAACCTCTGCTGAACGACGTGAATCACAAATTCCATCCTCTGGCCAAAGGTATGGAAGGATATTTACTGAAAGACGTGAAGCTCACTCTGCTAAACGACGAGAAGCTCGCTCTGCTGAACGACGTGAATTACGAATCATATCTTCTGACCGAAGAAATGCAAGGATCTCTGCTGAACGACGTGAAGCTCGCTCTGCTGAACAACGTGAATCACGAATCCTGTCTTCTGACCGAAGAGATGCAAGGATATCTGCTGAACAACGTGAAGCTTGCACTGCCGAACGACGTGAAGCTCGGTCTGTTGATCGACGTGAAGCTCGCTCACTTGATCGACTTGAAGCTCGCTCTGCTGATCGACGTGAAGCTCGCTCTGCTGATCGACTTGAAGCTCGATCTGCTGATCGACGTGAAGCTCGCTCTGCTGAACGACTTGAAGCTCGCTCTGCTGACCGACGTGAATCACGATCACTGTCCTCAGACCGAAGAAATGCGAGAATCTCTGCTGACCGACGTGAATCACGATCTCTGTCCTCAGACCGAAGAGATGCGAGAATCTCTGCTGACCGACGTGAATCACGATCTCTGTCCTCAGACCGAAGAGATGCGAGAATCTCTGCTGACCGACGTGAATCACGATCTCTGTCCTCAGACCGAAGAGATGCGAGAATCTCTGCTGACCGACGTGAATCACGATCTCTGTCCTCAGACCGGAGAGATGCAAGAATCTCTTCTGACCGACGTGAATCACGATCTCTGTCCTCAGACGGAAGAGATGCAAGAATCTCTTCTGACCGACGTGAATCACGATCTCTGTCCTCAGACCGAAGAGATGCGAGAATCTCTGCTGAACGACGTGAAGCACGATCTCTGTCCTCAGACCGAAGAAATGCAAGGATTTTAGCTGATCGAGGTGAAGATCACGTTGCCGAACGACGTGACACCCGCTCTGCCGAACCACGTGAATCTCAATCTCTGTCCTCAGATCAAAGAGATGCGAGGATGCCTGCCGATCGACGCGAAACTCGCTCTAATGAACGACGTGAATCACGATCTCTATCCTTAGAACAAAGAGATGCAAGGATCTCTGCCGAACGACGTGAAGCACGATCTCTGTCTTCAGACAAAAGAAAAACGAGGATCTCAGCTGAACAACGTGAAGCTCGTACCACAGAACAGCGCAAAACTCGATCTCTTAGATCAGATCGACGGGACACCAGGATCTCTGCTGAACGTCGAGAAACTCGATATCTTGGCTCAGAACGACGAGACACAAGAATTTCTGATGAACGTAGAGAAAGTCGATCTCTTACCCCAGAACGACGAGAAGCACGAATCTCTACTGAACGTGGAGAAGCTCGATCTCTTACCTCAGAACGACGAGACGCAAGGATCTCTGCCGAAAGTCGAGAAGCTCGATCTCTTACTTCAGAACGACAAGGCGCAAGAATCTCAGCTGAACATCGAGAGGCTCGATTTCTTACTTCAGAAAGACGAGACGCAAGAATCTCTGCCGAACGTAGAGAAGCTCGATCTCTTACCCTAGAACGACGTGACGCAAGAATCTCTGCTGAACGTAGAGAAGCTCGATCTCTTACCTCAGAACGACGAGACGCAAGGATCTCTGCTGAACGTCGAGAAGCTCGATCTCTTACCTCAGAACGACGAGACGCAAGGATCTCTGCTGAACGTCATGAAGATCGATCTCTTACCTCAGAACAACAAAACGCAAGAATCTCTGCCGAACGTCGAGAATCTCGATCTCTTACCTCAGAACGACGAGGCGCAAGAATCTCTGCCGAACGAAGAGAATCTCGATCTCTTACCTCAGAACGACGAGATGCAAGGATCTCTGCTGAACGTCGAGAAGCTCGATCTCTTACCTCAGAACTACGAGACGCAAGGATCTCTGCTGAACGTCGAGAAGCTCGATCTCTTACCTCAGAACGACGAGACGCAAGAATCTCTGCTGAACGTAGAGAAGCTCGATCTCTTACCTCAGAACGACGAGACGCAAGAATCTCTGCTGAACGTCGAGAAGCTCGATCTCTTACCTCAGAACTACGAGACGCAAGGATCTCTGCTGAACGTAGAGAAGCTCGATCTCTTACCTCAGAACGACGAGAAGCAAGGATCTCTGCTGAACGTAGAGAAGCTCGATCTCTTACCTCAGAACGACGAGACGCAAGGATCTCCGCTGAACGTAGAGAAGCTCGATCTCTTACCTCAGAACGACGAGACGCAAGGATCTCCGCTGAACGTAGAGAAGCTCGATCTCTTACCTCAGAACGACGAGACGCAAGGATCTCTGCTGAACGTAGAGAAGCTCGATCTCTTACCTCAGAACGACGAGACGCAAGGATCTCTGCTGAACGTAGAGAAGCTCGATCTCTTACCTCAGAACGACGAGACGCAAGGATCTCTGCTGAACGTAGAGAAGCTCGATCTCTTACCTCAGAACGACGAGACGCAAGGATCTCTGCTGAACGTAGAGAAGCTCGATCTCTTACCTCAGAACGACGAGACGCAAGGATCTCTGCTGAACGTAGAGAAGCTCGATCTCTCACCTCAGAACGACGAGAAGCAAGGATCTCTGCTGAACGTAGAGAAGCTCGATCTCTTACCTCAGAACGACGAGACGCAAGGATCTCTGCTGAACGTAGAGAAGCTCGATCTCTCACCTCAGAACGACGAGAAGCAAGGATCTCTGCTGAACGTAGAGAAGCTCGATCTCTTACCTCAGAACGACGAGACGCAAGGATCTCTGCTGAACGTAGAGAAGCTCGATCTCTTACCTCAGAACGACGAGACGCAAGGATCTCTGCTGAACGTAGAGAAGCTCGATCTCTTATCTCAGAACGACGAGACGCAAAGATCTCTGCTGAACGTAGAGAAGCTCGATCTCTTACCTCAGAACAACGAGACGCAAGGATCTCTGCTGAACGTAGAGAAGCTCGATCTCTTACCTCAGAACGACGAGAAGCAAGGATCTCTGCTGAACGTAGAGAAGCTCGATCTCTTACCTCAGAACAACGAGACGCAAGGATCTCTGCTGAACGTAGAGAAGCTCGATCTCTTACCTCAGAACGACGAGACGCAAGGATCTCTGCTGAACGTAGAGAAGCTCGATCTCTTACCTCAGAACGACGAGAAGCAAGGATCTCTGCTGAACGTAGAGAAGCTCGATCTCTTACCTCAGAACGACGAGACGCAAGGATCTCTGCTGAACGTCGAGAAGCTCGATCTCTTACCTCAGAACGACGAGACGCAAGGATCTCTGCTGAACGTAGAGAAGCTCGATCTCTTACCTCAGAACGACGAGACGCAAGGATCTCTGCTGAACGTAGAGAAGCTCGATCTCTTACCTCAGAACGACGAGACGCAAGGATCTCTGCTGAACGTAGAGAAGCTCGATCTCTTACCTCAGAACGACGAGACGCAAGGATCTCTGCTGAACGTCGAGAAGCTCGATCTCTTACCTCAGAACGACGAGACGCAAGAATCTCTTTTGAACATCGTGAACGAAAAGATCTTTTATTACCTTCTGCTGAACAACGAGACACTAAACACCTTTATGCCATGAGAGACGATGCTAAGATTCATGATAGTGAGGTTGATGTTGGTTTACCTGTAAATGACCAACTACCAAGTGACTTTAAAATATCTTCAACAGCATCTGTCTTCTTCACATCCGAAAAGGACTCTTTTAAGATCATGTCAGATCCAAATACCCATGAAACCTTTCATAATTGGTTTTTGAGTGTAATTTTTACTGGATTGAATGTTATTATTGTTGCAGCACTGCTTCTTCCAAACAATGCAGAAGGAATTAAAAAACATAAGGTATGACATAACTTGTATTAAGATTTACTATACTCCATTCACAAAAATTAGTTGGTTTTAAGGGAAAGAAATCTATCCTCTTCACGTCTTGATCCCACCATTAAAATATAGCTCAACAGCTGAGATTTGTCAAAACGTCAATCAGCTGCAACATACATAGAAAAGTGTGGTGGGGGAACTTTCCCTTAAACCGTTCAAGTATTGTGAACGGAATGTATACTTGTTGCAATGTTTTTATATCTTAAAAATATAAAAGCTTTGAAAAGTTAAGTTTTCTGCTATTATTTTTTATGTCTGGTACTAAAGGCAGTTATGTATTTCTACAACCAAAAACTGAATACGGTTATATAATACAATATTAATTGCACACCTGTATCTGAATTCATTACATTGTACCTTAATACAATATTAGGCCTACTATAAAAATAATGTTGTTTTTTTTTTTCAGAATGCATTCTTTGGATTTGAAAAACAAAACTGGTAAGAAAACTCTTCATACTGAAATTTAGGACTATAGCTGTATAGCATACAATGTGTTTTGAACCAACTAAAATTAGTGACAACAAGCTTACATTCTGGTAACCCTATTTTTTCTTTATTTTATTTCATTATCGATCAGATTATATGCATTATGTTGTATGGTTATCAATAAAGTTTTGTGTTTTTGGAAATTTATTGTAAATAAGACTCAACATGATATTTTCGCAAGCCTAAATAAATAGAGTATGTATTGTCGGTCTACATTTATTTGATTTCTACAGATCAGGTTTTCTTGGATTTTGACAAGTCTATAAAAAGTATAAACCTGGAAACGAAGCCTTAAGCCTTTCAAAATAAAACCAATGATTTATGTTAACGTGTTCTACTACGGTACATATTTATATTTCTCCGTGTTAAGGGTAGTTGCGAAGTATAGAGGTAAGGTAAGAATAATAGACACGGTATGGATCAAAGACATAAATAAATCATATTACTGGCCCGAAAGTACACAATATTTAACATTGCTTAAACAGAACTGTCTAAACCAATGTTTATTAGTATAGGATTGGGGCAGTTACGTAATTTGTTTATGTTTATGATTCATACCGCTATCGGTGCTAATATCCGTGGTACTGTACCTTAGAATCGTGCACTCGCACAGTAAGGAAGTGGAGATATGAGATACAGATTAAAGTATTGACAGTTTGATTTAAGAACTAGCTGTGTGCCCGTTCTACGCACGGGGATCTTATAGTAGTCAGTTGAATGTGACAAAAATTACACAATGTTGGGTTTTTGGACATTTGTAACTAAGTAGGTAGGCCATGTCTATGGAAAAGTACCGGTATCAAGGATCATTGGGCTTTAAATAAATGATCCTGGCTAATGAAACAGCTGATCTTAGTCAGTAACAAAGCTACACAGATCATCACACACCATTCTACACTCATCCTTCACTCATATTTGGGTTAAAATACGCACCTAAGTGGCGTCCCCATCTTAATGATTGATTGATTGATTGATTGATTGATTGATAATTGATCGTCATCGAAAAGGTTGTTATGAATAAATTGGTAGGCGTACGTACCGAAGAGATGGGCTATGGGCCTATTGGCTGTATGGTCCGGCGATTGCATCATACGGTGAGTAGGAACAGAAAGTGACACAACGGAAAAGCAAGTTTAGCATAATCCATAAACCGTAAACCTCTGTTACAATCACCCACTGCAGTTGTGATTTTTTACTTTACACTTTACACAACCGCCATTGAAGCGCCATCAATGAGTGGAATCCTTGTTAGTGAGCTATTGGCGACGATCATTAATAAATTCAAGTTTCCCAGCCCTATACAACACTGATTCAAGGTCTTCTTTCTGGTTATCAAAACTCAAGAACAATTTTATACACAAAGAATCTTTGGTTCCTGAACCGGATGATGCCTAGTTATTTAATTTCATTTACGGTTACACTATAATATTGCACTTGCAATTAATTAAATCCGTTATGTAAGAAAAACGTTTTTAATCTCACTTTGTTTGGGATTTGCTTTCAAAACTTGATCAGAAATGATTGCGGTATTTGTAAACAACATTTGTAAACATATCAGTTACAGGTAGAAAAAATAATCTTCATCCGAACAGCTGTTCGTTATTTCATAGAAAACAATGCCAATTCTAGATTCGTTTCTTTGAAATGATTATGTGATAAAAATTGAACGAAAACTTGACAAAAATCGCACAAAACTGTATTTTTGAACGTCCGTAATTTTATTTACAAAGTAGTGAGGCCATGTTTTAATGGCTAAAGACACTCTCGCCAATCCAGTGAATACATTAAAATGACTTGGATTTTGATAGGTACTCTCGTTTTCATGAAGAAGATTGCGTAAAATGTCATCTTGAGTGTTACAGACATACAGAAAGAAAGACAGACAGACAGACAGACAGACAGAAATAGAGATAAGACTTGTTTCTGCTTCTTTAATGAATAAAACGTAAAAATAACCTAAAAATAAAAAATTGTTAGCAATGTACAGACAAAACTCTAATTTTATTTATATAGAAGATAGAATATAGATATCTGATATTTTATTGCTGATATTAAATATTTAAATGTTTTAAAGAAGAGTTGAAAAATAATGCATAATTAACATCTGAGTAGAGAGAAATTTTAACCAGAAAATATTATACTCACTACCTCTACGTTGACTTAAGATAATAGAAACAACCAATTACTGGAGTCATTCAAATCGATAAAACCTAAATACAATGAATTTGAGGTTAGCGACCCGAAAGATTTACCATTTGTGGGTTTTCCTTATTTGAAGTTATACCCGAAAACGACGAATTTGCGGACGATTTAGAGAACTAAAAACTCAAACTGCTGCTTTCCGGACAGTATAGTGACAAATTATTTTATACTTACTAGACATTTAGCTATTGTATGTTTTCAGGATGACAAGACTGGCTGGCTGTGTGTAAATCAAATAAGCTCTTCCTCTTCTACGATTACATCTGTCTACATACTTATTCATGTCGTATCATGTAGTTTAGATATCGTGACGTCATTAGACAAAGTAGTGCTGCAGCAACACCTTTGAAAATGCTTTGTTTATTTTCCTCATGTTTTTGAATTATTGATTCCTTTACAAATCTTGAACTGCTTAGACTTAACAATACCTGTAGTAGTTAAAAGACTTAATCCAAACTGTAACAAAATTCTTCCCATTCTTAACCGGAGAGAGAATTGATAATGTGATATTAGTGTAGACTGAGATGATATTTTTCAACATTAGTGGATAAAATGACTATCAAAGTGGTTACTGTTTCGTATTCTGAGCAATGTTACACGTGTTATAGATTGATATTTTTGTAAATAGACCAAAATAACATACTTTGTGATTGGATATTCAGAGATTTATTATCGTTGTGTCTAATGTTTTGAGAATAAAATCTTATATTTCTCGTTAGAGGCAATGTTACCGTAGCTAAGGCTGTTTGATTTATTATTGATTCTTAGCCTATATAGACTTTAGCATGTGACTCAACCGTAGTGTAGAACTATATAACTATGTGTTTCTAATAAATGTTAGCAAAGTGTTTGGAGTTGTTCAATGATCCTTTCTTCCTTCTGTATGTTTATAAATGAACAATATCTGGCTACGTTACGTTTTTTACAATAACTCAAGGTTTTATTCGATTGAAATTAATACAAAGGGGGTCCATGCACAAATTGCACATTTAGGGTTCAAACACTAATTCCCAGGTAAAAATAACAATGCAATACTCCTTGTCTTAAACGTTAGGTTGTATTTAAATCCAATAAAAAAATGAATTCAAAATTGTTCAATTGTAACTTTGCTAATGCCTTTCATTTACTAAAATCTGTATCAGTTTCTATTGTAACGTCGAAGACGACGCAAATGAATAATCAAGAGTATTTATATGATTTGTTTTCGCTATTTTAACTATATAAAAGACTTGGAGAAAACTTACATGAATTTACTTTTTATACTTTTCCCAAACAGCAAAATGTATTAATTTTCAAACGTGAGCGAAATGTACACATATATAGATTAATTTTTGTATCTTGAATAACTTCTGCAATTCATTGACAAAGATTTTCTCACAAAATAGGGTACTAATTTATTGGTACATTTTCATAAAAGGTGTCTAACAAATTGCAAAAATATAATTTGGCATCTACAATTTTTTAAATCCTTTGTTCAAACACAACTTCTCTATACACTCCTAGCTACTGGAAAATGCATAGGCAGCCTCCTCATTAAAGCTGTAAAATATAACCAATTACAAAATCCAAAACATAAAACCTTAGAGGGTCACCACAATTTCAAAATCCCCACACACACACACACACTTACACAATTCCAAATTTGCATAACAGCCGACCGAGGGAGACAAACTAAACTAACCACTATTGCATGACCCTGTCGTAACTAAATGCGTAACCACAGTTGAGGGTCTTGCAGATAGCCTACTGTAAATGTAATTAGGCTTTAATTCCCAGTGAGAGATGGTCAAGGTAGCCTCAAAGGCCATGAGTTTTGGAGGATGAAGATCCTGAGCCTATCTAGTGTTGAACATGTTGTCTTCAGTGGTGGTAGTGGCAGCAATGTTGCTGTATGTTGTGGTAACACTGGGTGAAGTTGTACAACCTGACTACTCCAACTCCCAGATGATCAGGGTCAACAATGTTACTGTTGAAGATTTGGAGGCAACCGGAATAATGGGCGAGATGGATGGTGAGGTATTTTTTTAAACTAAGATTTTAAAGAAAAATATATTTTCCTACAGTCACCCGACAAAGTTGGCTTCCTTGTACTGTTTATAGTACAGAAAGCTGCTAATTGCTGCATATTTATACTTTTCCGTACGGTTTATACTTTGTCGTACGGTTTATACTTTGCCGCACATCAGGATTCCAACGAAACAACACAAAACAGCGTGGTTCTATTATGCACGAGGCCTTTGCTGCACTCGAGATCATTCCATTATTCATTAAACATTGCTCTCGTGTGCAGCAAAGTGCCACTTTCACCACTAGTTACACAAATAACTATTTCGAAACGTTAGATTGGGAGTATTTTTTTTTAGATGAGAGAATACGTTAAGAGAGGTTGAATTAATAGACTAGTATAAAGATTAAATTTCAGGATCGAATCGAAACCTATTGAATTAAATATATATATACATTTCAAAAGAAAGTATAAAGTAAAGTAAGTAAAGTATATATTTTAATAATGGAATCAAAAGTTCCAACAAGAGTGTTTAACTAAATGCAAATATAGTATTTGTATATTTCTATTTAACTCAAACAAACGTACCTAACTCGATAGCTGTTTACCATGATTAAGAAAATATATTTTAAGTAACCAAATAATTACATCATTCAAAATTGTTATTAAAAAATATTGTGCAGTTGAAATTTGATGCATATATTCCCACAAGGTACACATACTAGACTTCGTATTTTCACTGACTTTTACTCCTTTAGTTGTTATGATAATTATAAGGTAATAAACAAACCTGAGCACAGTTCTCTGGGGGTGAAAAGGGCACATGAGGAAGCCTGTACCAATATCTTGAAAGAGGAGGAGAATCTTCTGCGATATGAACAAGTGTTACCAAATTGTGACTTCCTACTTTCCGTGGATCCCAGGAAATGGCTATGTGTCAAAGTCAAAAATACAGATGATTCCTAACTCATTAAGTAGAGGATTTAACAAAATTCAATCACATTCGGGAAGGAAAAGTATGCAATTATCCAATGAAAGATCATTCGATTAGGAAATAATTCAGCTTTTGTCGGTTTAAATGTAAAATATTACTCATGAACCATTCTGACAGGTATTGACATAGTGGGTGCTGCTGGTGACTCCCTTGACTTGATGCTGATGAACAACTCTATCGCTATTGAAGATATAATGAATATGAACATGACTTACAAGGTTATGGTTGAAAATGTTCAAAAAATGATCGACAACGAACTAGAAATGGATGTGGTAGCAAACCAGACGAGTAACATTACTTGTGAGAAAGGTAACTACAAAACACGTGTTTAAGAGCAATTGAGCAACTAAATTTATAACAAAGTTGTGGAATGGCGTTTATTGCTTTTAGTTATCTATATCTATATACAGAAGAGGTTGTGTCTGCCTGTGTGTGTGTGTGTGTTTGTCACAAACGAATTGAGAACCTCCTCCACTACCCGTTGGTAGTGGGGAAGTCGGTTAAAAACAATTTTTTTTTCTGTTGTTGAAAATAGATCATTTCTGTATGGTGTGATGAGAAAATCTTTTCTCAATCTTGTCAGTTGTCATCCCAATTAAGTCATTAAATAAAACCATTGTAAATCAAAATAACTCTTTTACCGATACAGCCAACTTAAAATAGAAAATCAGTACCGGTATTCGTAACGAGTACCAATAGAAATTTCAAAATAGACATATCTGTCATTTTTATATCATGTACTTTGTGTTTTCTACACCAGTTGCATTATTTTGATATACAAAACTGTAAAACCACGATACCATAGTTTTATTTAGCTAGCTTACAAAGGAAACCAATAAGATTTTTAGGGACTGTGTTTTTACAAATACAGGATCTTGCTTCACTTGGGACAAATATTACCGACTAGACGTCATCTTAAGATACTTGGAATATCTTGAGAGGGCTTACCCACAACATATGACTGTTGAAACAATCGGCTACTCTGCTGAACATCAACCTCTCATAGTGGCAAAGATAACTACTGGCAGCAAAGACAATGTCTCAGCCAAGGCTGTTTGGGTGGATGGAGGTTAGTGTGTACTTTAGTGTGTAATACTATACTAAGATAATATTATACTGTGCAATACTATACTATACCAAGATTTCGTATTCTTCAAAAATACACAAATACAATTAGCTGCCTCTATACAAATCGGCTATTACAACACTACTTACAGTCGATGTTGCCACTTCGAAGGCCGCGGTCTAGAGTTAAAGGTGGCCGTGGTTAGATTCTGGAATCTAAAATTCTAATAAAACGCTCGTTCTTGCGTTGTCAGTCACGCGCCACGAAAAAACATTGTGGGACTATTAAGTATTAATGCATTTATAAAGAAATCGGTGTTGACAACTTAATCCAATCCAACCGGCCTGACCTAAACCTTGGCGGGTGGCAAAGTTAGTATAGGCCTATAACTTGGGCGGGTGGTTCCTGCAATCTGCGTGACCGTGGCAACCACGGCCGCCTTTAACTCCAGGCCGCGGCCTTCGAAGTGGCAATGGCGCAAGTAGGGTTGTAACAGCTGTTTTGTTTGGAAGCAGCTTATGGCATTTTTGTGTATCTACGAAAGCTTGCTTACTGGACTATGAAAATATTGACTCCGCTTTAAATGTACAGCTACCTATAGATTTTCAATTCGTATTGTTTTGTTTTCAATTCTGTATATTTTATATTCAATATTTCAATAAATTTATGTTCATAAATTTCAATTTCAATAAACAAAGTGCGAATAAATGAGCTGATGTAACTTGTCTGACATGTTATATGGGACGTCTGGCACTAAACAACCCTACTTGCAACGTTACCAATAATTAATTCTACGGTACCAGGTCGTGGCCTGGAGTTAAAGAGTTAAAGCTGGCCGTGGTGGCAAACCCTTCAGCAACTACTGACCGGGACTGTACTTTTGGAGTTAAATTGGAGTGAATTTTGGAGCTAAGTAAAACACTCTGCTTATTAAATTAATATTATTCGTGTTTGTGAAATTTGGAGTCCGTGAAACGATGATTATTTAAAATTTATGCTATTGGACTTGGTGAAATTTTGAGTTCTTGGATCTCTCTATTTACATAAGTATTTACTATTTGAGTTGGTAAAATTTGGGGTTTGTGAAACGCTAAAAAAATTGGAAGATGCTTAGAAGAGCATAAAAAAGTGCCAGATTAGCTAGAGCTAGAGAAACTTGTACCATGGATAAAACATATATACTCATCACCTATTTGGTTATGTCTATGCTAATCTACAATCAAAAATTATTGAATAATACAAATAATTCAAATAAACGTGAAATACGCTTCCCAACCACCATTAGCGTAACTAGAAGAAAGGACAACGTAGGACCATTGACTATACATACCTATAGGTATATACAGTCAATGGTAGGACATATTTTATATTTATGTAGGAGACGTTTTACTTTTTTTGTTGTTTTCTGGTATTTTGATTTTTGTTCTGTAATCAATTTTAAATCAGTTTTAACTACTTATTTAAAATTATTAATTTTCCAGTGGGATTATAACTATTGTCGGGACCACATAAGTTTGCAGTTGAGGGAGGAGCCTATTTACCATAATGGTTTTCAATGAACCAATGAGAAAGGTGTGGTGTTGCCAAATCTAACAATACCAGCTGATTTGAAAATATAGCTTTGTATATTTTTATTAGTGTTGTCAATGGGTGATGTGGCAACGTCGCACTAGCCTCGTCTTGTGATTGGCTGCCACCAACTGCAAACTTACGTGGTCCCGACAATAGATAATAAAACACAAATCATGAAATGGAACCGGGAAGCGCTCAAACATCGCAAATCATGAAACTTCAGATTATATGATAGTATGAGAAGTCTATTTGAAGTATCCAAATTTAATTATTTCGCTATCAATTTTTGAATCTAGTTACAAAATAATAAATTAAATAAACAAGAGGTTTTAGTTTTATGGTTTAGGGTTTATCCCCCTTGGAGAGATATATAATCAATGGTTTATATGGCTTCACATAACAGGAAAAGGTACTGTGTGTTAGCCACCTGTCAGACAAAATCGACTTGTTTTTGTTTGTTTGAATCGTTTTAATTTTTCATTGTCCATTGTCAGTACTGTCACTGTCACACTGTCTAGTCTACTGTCAGTCAGTTCAGTTGTCGTATCGTCAAAATGCAAAGAATGATGTTTTTTCGTTTGTGCTAGGCTATGTTGTTTGTTTTGTTATGATGAACATAAACCTAAACCTAGTCATGGAAATTGGAAAGTAACTAAGTTTTTGAATTTGAAGTTTTCTTTGAATATTGACTTTGTTAGGAGTAATAAACAGGCAAGAATAAGTTCCCGTTTACGCCAGTGACTTTATTGAATGAACTGTTCGTTCACTTTTCTTAACAGTAATTTGAAAGTGGCCTAGGCCTATTCTTCATTTCATTTTAGACAAAATGTGCGATAAAAGTGATGCTCTTGGCGACGAAAATGTCGAATCAGTCGGATTAATATGCGCCAAAGAAAGATTCTCAGAAAATGAAGAGGTTATTGAAATGTTAAACAACATTTCTAACATTTGTGGACCTGAATCGACAATGCGAGATGCAGAAAGAGCCTATGAGAAGTTTCAACTAATATTCAGCCAATATAATGAACAACCACACTTGTTGGATCCCTATTTGGATGATATTCTTTCAAAAATTGTATCCATTGTGCGACAAGAATCTGCAGTTGAACTAAAACATACAGCCTTCAAATATTTATTCTTATTAATTAACACCAGAGGATACAAAGTAATAGTTCGATGCCTACCACACGAAGTTGCAGATCTGGAGCCTACATTACAGCTGCTTGAGGCGCAAGATTCCAATGATACTGCTACTTGGGAAACAAGGTATTGTCTACTTTTATGGCTATCAATCATTGTTATGATTCCATTCCACATGTCTCGCCTCGACAGTGGAGCTCAAAGTAAAACTGTGATGGGTAGATTGTGTGATGTTTGTCAAAAGTATCTATTGTGTGGGGATAAATGCCGTGAGGGCGCCGCTTTTCTCTCAGCTCGCTTTTTAACTCGTTCAGATGTCAAAGAAATTTATCTGGCTGATTTCCTAAAATGGATAAATGAAAAAGTATCAGACGAAATAACTGAGGGTTCGTCTTGGAAAAGATTTGGGCCATTGGCATGTTTGGCATCAATTTTGAAGCACGGGAAGCGTGAAGACCTACTTCCATATGCCCCACAGTTGTTGCATTGTGTCATGGATGCTAAATGTCTTGATGATTACTATCCCCTATCAAGCAAGTTTTCAATGAAAATAGTTGCTAGGATTGGTCTTACATTTCTCAAACCAAGAGTAGCATCATGGCGTTACAATCGAGGAAGCCGCTCTTTGACCAGCAACCTCTCTAATGCAGATGTCCAAGCAACTGATCAAGCCAACACAAACCCTACCGAAGACTTAGGAGGTGGTGATGAACAAGAGGAAGATGATGATATTGATATCCCTTCTGAAATAGAGGACATAATTGAATATTTAATCCAAGGCCTGAAGAACGAAAACAATACCACACGGTGGTCAGCAGCTAAAGGTATTGGCCGGGTGATGTCTCGTTTAAATAAACAGTGTGGAGATGATGTTGTTTGTTCCATTCTAGAGCTCTTAAATCCAAGAAACTCAGATGGAGCTTGGCAAGGTGGTTGCCTGGCATTGGCTGAGCTCGCCAGAAGAGGGCTGCTTTTACCCAAAAGGTTAGAAGATGTCGTACCCTTAGTGGTCAAAGCTTTAACTTTTGAGGAGCCACGTGGTTACAATTCTGTCGGCGCTAATGTCCGTGATGCAGCATGCTATGTATGTTGGGCATTTGCTAGGGCATATCATCCTAATATCATTCTACCTTTTTCTACACAAATCGCTGAGGGGTTACTCATTGCTACTTGTTTTGATCGGGAGATAAACTGTAGGAGAGCTGCAGCAGCAGCTTTTCAAGAAAATGTTGGTAGACTTGGGAATTTTCCTCACGGTATTGAAATTTTGACCACAGCCGATTATTTTTCTGTTGGTATCAGGAGTAATGCGTACCTGAAAATCAGTGTATATATAGCTCAGTTTGAGGAGTACACAAAAGGATTCATTAATCATTTGTTTGACCGTAAAGTGGACAATTGGGACCCTAATATTCGTAGCCTAGCTGCCAAGGCTTTATTTAACCTGACACCTTGTGCTCCTCAGTACATTTTGACTCACGGATTCCAGGCTTTACTTTCACTAATCAGATCCATTGATCTCAACGCTCGACATGGTGCCATTCTTGCTCTCGGCGAAATAGTTCATGGTCTGTCCCTGCTAAATATTTCTTTAGATTCATCTCAGTTACATGAAGTTGAAAATCTTGTTTCTCACCTTAAAGAAAGACAGGTAATGAGAGGTCAAAGTGGTGAATTTACGAAGATTGCCTGCTGCTCATTTATTGAAAATTGCTCTCGGGCAAAGTTACCATTCAATGGAAAGCCAGTGGTAGCTGAATGGCAAGAACTCTTAGATGACTGCCTTTGCCATGAAAGTACAGAGATGAGGCAAACCGCAGCTGCAGCTCTAACCCATCTTTGCACACAGTACTATTCATTAGATTCTGTTGACATCCGCAGTGACATAATCAACAAATATACCTCAACATTACAAACTGGCAATAAAATTTCAAGGATGGGATATACCTTAGCACTTGGCTCATTACCTCCTTTTATGCTTCATGGCTTCCTCCCCACAGTGGTTCAGAGTCTTGTTAAATGCTCCAAGATAACACAAGAATCAGTCAAGTGGGCAGAGTCTCGTGCTGCAGCTTTGAAAGCTTTGTCATCGATTTGTCTCAACATTCACTTGCACAAGATAGATGAAGGTTTGAGCTGTTACAGTTTGGTTGTGGAAATAATAGAAGCTCTTCTGAATGGAATGAAAGACTACACAAGTGACAGTAGAGGTGATGTTGGAGCTTGGGTGAGAGAAGCAGCGATGTTAGGTCTAAAAGATGTGATCACATTAGCAACAGATGAAGCGAGTGAAGTACTTGATCCAGATTTAATCTGCCAATCTTTTGTGGAGATATCCCAGCAAGCTGTTGAAAAGATCGATCGCACCAGAGGTTATGCCGGTAGAGTTTTCTCCAGTTTGCTGCATAAGGATGGTAAGCCAGTTCCTCATATTCCTGACGAAGCGAAACTCAAAGAAATATTTCCAGCAGATCGTTGTGATTCTATCAATTGGATTGCAGCATGTGATACGTTTCCTCTTTTTATTCAACTGTTATCGTTACCCCGGTTTACAAAGGCTGTTATGCTGGGTCTCGTCGGAAGTGTGGGAGGACTAACTGAAAGCTTGGTTAAATATTCTAGTCAAGCGCTTTTTGATCATTTACGACAACAAGAGCACACCGAATTAGTGCGGCTGTGTGACACAGTTGCAACTATTTTTGAACAATACCAACATGAAGACAGGATCACAATACCTTTATTAACGTTCCTGGAGCGACTTCTTACTTCAAACTCTATAGCTCCTGTCCTTATCGATCCGCAAAACGCATTTGCCAAAAGACTTTTGCGGTGTGGCAAAACTGAAATTGCTAAGACTGTGAATAGCAAGAAACTCACTGCCAGTGTTGATTTCTTCTGTCAGCTGATCCAAGTGCCTGGAGAAGTTTCCCGCCGTTCCTTAGTTCAACTCGGCATCCTGCTCTGTCATAGATTTCTTTGGCTTCGAAGGGTAACAGCGACCAAGATGTATGAAGCTTTGATTGTATACAGCGAGGAGTGCGGAGTCGACCCATCTACTCTAGATGACGCCATGGCAATTCTGAGTGACACTGAATGGGATACATTGAGCACTGAGGCTGCTAGAGCTCAGCGGAACAAACTCTGCCAACTTCTCAACATACCAATGCCTACAGCAGGGACTCCGTCTAACAAGTGACTGTGATCAAAGCCTATTTTGTATTACTGCATCGAAGGTTAGCTTTATTTTTTTATAACATTCCTTAGGTCTTTTTTACTAATGTTTTTACTAATTTTGTACTTTGATTCTTTTAATCACTTAAGTAGGCTAGAATCAATGAACTTAGAAAAGAACATTACAATGCCTGTTAGTGAAACTTCTTGCAAGATTAATTGTTTATTTAATTTTATTTGTTCTTTTTTCAATATATAGGGCCTACTCATGCTGGCTAGTGACAGTTGTTTAATGTAAATTTTCAGTTTATTACTACTTAGGAGCAGTATTTAACGTTCACTCATAAATTAATTGTTGAGCACAAAGAGTAATCATTTTGTTATATTTTGGCTTATAATTAACAACAAATAAATACATTTTTATAAAATATGTAACTGGTTATGTTTTAGCCAAATTGATCTTCTTTAGACCATGTATTTGTCGTTTTAACTAGGGTACCTACAGTTATTTAACTCTATCACATTACTTTCTGACCAGTTAATTGTTAAAATAAAGTTAGGCCTGGTTTTCCGATCATATTTTTCAGTCTTCCAATCTCATAACAATTCATGGTCATTTGAATTTGATACTAGGCCAAACTAAACAATAATAATTGTGGCCTATGCTATAATTCTGATGTCAAAGTAACTCGCTTTTTAATAAATTATAAACTATTGTTGGCCTAACGTCGATAGTAGGCTAATTTATAAGAGAAACTCAATTACTGCCATGTAGAAAATATTATACTGTGTGGATTTCAGATATCTGCAAAAATAGTGAATCAAACTATTTAAAAAATACTTGTTCATCCTTCTCTTCTAAGCCTGTAACAATATCAACTCAAACATTTTACTACAAATTCAGACATGATTAGATTACAACTATCAGTTGTCAGAGCCACGTTGTGCTCTAGTTTATTACTTTTGAAAAACTTGTAGACTTTGGTTCAAACTGTTTTAACTACCGGTAACTTGTTATATTTATGGCAAGCACTAGTGTTTTACCTAAATGCACGGACAGCATAGTGTGTGTAGTTGTATAAGCAATAATTACGTTTAGTACTTTTAGAGATTGATAACTCTTAAAACTCTTCAATGAATAAGAAATATTTCGAAAGAATCACCAGTGTCGGTTCTAGGCCCGAGTCAAGGGGGGGGGGCCTACCATGGTTTACGGTGCAACACCAGGAGAGGGATCCTCCTCCAGAAAAAATTGCTATTTTTAAGGTCTATAACTGTGTCCAATAATCGCCATTATGTTTTTTTGACGCAAGTATGTTTAAATTTATACTTATGGAACCAATGGGTGGGGGGGGGCTTTAGCTCCTCTTGGAACCGCCACTTGAATTCACCTTATAATATTTAACTGTCATTTTCTAAATTCACAAATGTCTACAGATAATTTTTGGTTTTTGCTCTAGTGTAAAAATGGGGGTGCAGGAAAATGGCTACTTTTGTTTGACAGTGTAAAAAAGGAATACGTAAGCAATGCTCCTCTTAATCAACCAGGAAATGAATTAATAATGCTTAATTCTGTGGACATGAAAACATGTTTCAAAATATTGGCAGTTAGTTGACTGGGTTATTCTGGTGTTGGTATATAATGAATACCTACTTACCAAAGACAACTATTTTTATTAGGCTAGATTATATATTTTTTTAATCATTCATCCATTGAGGAATCTGAAGTAGCGTTATACCTTTGTGTAGCCCGAAAAACACAACAGTGAGGGTAAAGTTTGGTTTGAGGAACAGAACTAAATAATTTATAACAATCCATCTAACAGCTCTTTGCATAATTTTATGACAAATTAGGCTATTCTTACCTCTAGTAGTCCAAATTTTTATCAATTACCTGGCTAGTTCCATTGCTAGTGCAACATTTTCAAAGCATGTACCATGTACATAAGCAATAAATATATACATAAAAACCGACACGGACATAACATAGTAAGTTACAACGTTAGCACTATCATCACTATGATACAGCCAGTCTACTGCTGTAGACGGGACCAATTAGTCCTGCTAACGGTTATGTCCGTTTCATGTTTCGTGTTTTAAGTATATATTTCTTTTGATGTTTTGGCATAGTACACGCTTTGACAATGTTTCGCTTGAACTAGGGATGGTCAAGTCTCGAAATTTCGGGAAATTTTCGGGAAATTTTAAATCTCGTTACACGAGACGAGATTTATTTTTGGCCGAGATTTTTATCGAGACAAGAATTTAAAAAAAAAAAAAAATTAAAAACGCCTGCAGAAAGCCAATGCAATACCCGCAATACAGGAGCGTGTTGTAGTTGCGTTTCCTTTTTCGAAGGCGTTCTTATTTAATTAATTCTATAAATGTAAATATTACTTTAATTATTTTAATAATATTATTTTAATAATATTTGAGAAGTTTTGTTAAGTGTAAGCAGTGTGAGGAATGTTTTATTACTATAAAAAGTCAAAACAAGTAACTATTTTATAAAAATTAATATTGCTTTTATTTTATGATTTATTTTATTTTAAGATAAGTTGAACTCTATCCTAACTGATATCACTATGTTTCCTAATCGTAGGCATTTTTAATAAGTTAGGCGTGATTAATAAAAAAATGTTATGCTGATGTTTTTTAATAAAAGATTGTAAATATTCTTGCCTATTATCATTATTTTTGTATTTAAACAGTCATCTAACAATGTTACAAAATCAAGTCATCTAACAATGTTACAAAATCAGGTAAAAATTTTGAACGTGCATTTCCCGTTGTGTATGAGAAGGAAAATCCCGTCTCGATCTCGTCTCGAAATTTTATGAGAAATAAAAAATCTCGTCTCGTCTCGTCTCGAACTAAAAATTCAATCTCGTCCATCCCTAGGCTTGAACCAAAACTGTCCAGCACCAAATGTTGATGCAAATTTTGGACTACAGACAGAGGTAAAAATAGCCAAATTTGTCAAAAAAATACTTTTAAAGGTGGAAAAATTTTCAGTTTAATGATTTTTCTGTTTAAAAATTGAATTTATTGTGGTATATCTACCCATAGAAAGTAGAATAGTTTATAAGTAGAATGGCTTATGGTGTAGGTATCCATGCCAGAGAATGGGTGACTCCGGCCGCAGCATTGTACATCCTTCACCAAGTGTTGGACAATCTCTCCTCGGACGATGTCAATTCCACCTTCTCTGGCCTCAACTACTACATACTGCCTGTCGTCAACCCAGATGGGTATTGAGAATTCATGTCTAGACTACAGTATACATACCTATGTTTATAAAAAATCCATCTGGAACACATAGGTGATTCATTTTAATTTGTAGGTCTCTATCATGGGGAACTGCGGGTGTTTTCCTCATCCAGTTGGATGCATTGCACGACGTCCAATAATATTATTCAGTGTCACAACGTCCAAAATATAATTTTTGAGCTGTTGCACGACGTCCAATATAAAATATTTGACTGTTGCATAATGTCCAAGTGCCACGACGTCCAAACGTACAGTAACTGCAAAAAAATATATTCTTTCTACAAGCGTCATGGGATTGGTCGTGTAACAGCACACTTTATATTCTTTGAAAAAGGTAGCAGTTGCACGACGTCCAATAGCTCAGCGCTGTTGCATGACGTCCAAAGCGCATGCACACTGTGAGTACTGTTTTACCGCCTTTATTGGATACTAACCTAACCTATCTTAACCTAATCTAACCATGCTCCGTACGCAGGAGCTTTGGACGTCTCCAACAGCGGTGAGTTATTGGACGTCTTGCAACTGGCTTAACAGAGCTTTGGACATAGTGCTTTTCAACTAGGCCAAAGTTGAACTAAGTTTTTCAAAAGTATAAAGTGCGCAGTTTCACGACGTCCAAAGCTTGTAGAAAGACTATATTTTTTTAAGTTACTGTACTTTTGGACGTCGTGGCACTTGGACATTGTGCAACACTCAAATATTTTGTATTGGATGTCGTGCAACAACTCAAAAATTATGTTTTGGACGTCATGCAACACTCCCATCCAGTTTGAGGAAAAACTAGTGAAAAACTAACTAATATTTGTGAGGTTTTAGATGCGCTCCGAAATAAATGAGTAATTTATGTGTGATCATAATTTAACATACATACATTTAAAGTAAAAGAATAAAAATGATCAACAAAGTTGAACATAGTAGCAAAATTAAAATCTGTAATTGAATCACTACCTTCCTTGCTGATAATGGGTTCTGCAAGATAAATATGAAGCTCATGTCCAAGACAAAGGGCACATAACAAAACCTACTGTGTTTACACCAGTTGTAAATACTGTAGCAAAAATGTACAAAAGGTACAAATAAAGTAAAAATAAAGTATTGTACCTTTCAGAAAGAAAGTTGCTATGGCTTAGCAGAAGTTTCAATTATTTTAATTTTGACTGCATATGATAAGGCTTCCACTTCCTGCCATGTTAGACTGGTTTTTAACAAAATGGGCTGTTTTAAGAAGTAAACATTCTTGGTAGTTTAGGCTGGTTAAAGCAACAGCCGTATATAAGACTGTTGTTAAGAAGACCCCTACTACTACATAATAACTTGGCCTATAGTAGGAAAAAACAAAAATAGTTCTACTGAATTTTTCTACTTTTATACTTGCGTAGTAATTACGTTTAGTACAATACTTGGATAAAATCTAATGTGTCAGTAGAGTCAAAATCATCTAAGAATAGATGTTGAAATTTAGTTAAGAATTTAATTTGGAACAATACTGATAGGAAAAAAGGAGGATGTAACATAAATGTTTAACTTTCTAAACGATAACATTTTTCCAATGTTGAGTTAATCATTGCTTAAATCCTTAATGAATAATTAGCACAGTCAATTAAAATCATTAAACAGAACATTACCAAGTTATGGTACATACAGAGTCGGCTTTGGGTAGTGCAGGGCTCAGTGCAAGCAATTAGGGGTCGGGCCCTTACTACCAAAATTTAGTATTAGAACAATAACGACAAACAAATCTCAATAAATAATATAAGTAATTATACTCCCCCTTTTTCTGTTTCCATAATTGACATAATTATAAAAAATGCCAATGGCGTAAAAACACACAAAAAATAATAAAAATTAAGATTAAATAAACAGACTTTGTCCAATTTTTTAAAAATTTTGCACCTCCTGAGGTGCAGGGCCTTGTGCGGCCGCACCTTTCCCACATGAGTAAGGCTGGCTATGGGTAAATGTTTTTAATTCCATGAATGTCAATTCTCTCCTACACATTTTAGCTATGAGTACTCACACACCACAGATCGTTTCTGGAGAAAGAACCGTTCCGCCAACAACGGCTCGAGTTGTATGGGGACGGATCTGAACCGCAACTGGAACCATAAGTGGGCGGGGCCAGACTCC